CACACACACATGGAAGCGAGACGTGAGTTGTTTATCCCTGCTTGTACCGATGGAGCAGTTGCTTCGAGCAAGATATGCATCGTCACTTTCGTACCCTCTGCCGACGGACGAACAAGCGAGGGAGCGAGCGACAGAAACGAGATGAGACGGAAGAACTGTGGCACGGCACAGATGCTGTGGTGGTGGCTCATCACCTTTTTTGCCTTGTATGATGTATACTATACACGGAAAATACACATAATATAACAGCAATAATGACATCAGGAACTGCGCCTCATGTGATAGATATAGTTCCATTCTTAGTGTCCAGAGCCAAACCACGGAGTACCATCCCGTCTATCAGGTAAGTAGGCATTAGGTAGAAAGTAAGATGACGGTGATGACGGTGATGGCGATGGAGGCTGATTTTTTTTTATTAGAGGATCAGGCCGAGAGTTACATCAGTCAGTTAACTGGTTACAAGTATCTCTCTCTCACTCTGTGTGTGTGTCGGCCTCTTACTTGTCTGCCTATCTGCTTCAGGGGTTTCATCCAACCTCTCCCGCTGGTTTTAAGCTGGTGGTTCAGAGCGGGCACTAGAACCTTACCTTTAGCAGGCCGGTCTCTTCCTCGGGGAGCGGAGAGTGCGTGAGGTAATAGTCGGCCTGTTACCTGTTACTTAACTTGATTGACCTCCTCTCCGCTCCAGCAAAGGGAAAACAACGGCCGCCGAGTTGCAAAAGAGAGAGAGAGAAGAAAAGAAAAGAAAAAGGGACTTCGATTTTTGCAAGTCGGTCAGAGAGGCGAGAGGGGAAGAGAGATAATAAGATACTTCGTAGAGGAGTCGAGTCATTGAGAGGAAGAAGAAAGTCTCCTCCATCTCGGTATCTTGGTGATATGATCTGATCTGATGCTCTGGGCTCTGGGCTCTGGCTCTTATCACAGATCCCGGACTACCGAAGGCGCCCTCTCATAGTGTCTGTAGGTATGTACCTTTTTTCCCCTTGACTCATCTTTGGGGGCCCTTTTTTAGGCGGTTCTCGTCTCTCCTTGTCTGCCTCCGGCTTGGGCCTTGGTTCTTGGTTCTCCTCTGCGTTGTCCTCCTCCTCCTCTTCCTCCTATCCCCAACAAGGCCCCTTGGGTTGTCAGGTGGAGCCCGATGGCCCTGGTTTTTTCCTTTTCTTTTTTCCCTTTTTTATTTTTCACTTTTACTTTTACTCCTTCTTTCTTTTTTCCTTCTCCCTTTGTTTTGCTTTTTCCTCTTTTCTTTTTTGCATCTGCTTAGGTAGTTACCTTTGGTGGCCCCCTAATTTATCATGATGGGCGGATCTGAGCCCTATGTACCAGACTATTACGAAGTTACATCTTCAACTCTTTTTTTTTACAAGTCGGTGGAATATATATAGAGGGCCATCTCGTCCCAGTCCTTTCCGTTTCTCTAACCGTTCATCAGTTCGTCCATTCATTTTCATCATCATCCAGAAACGATCATATATAGACAACCACATCAAGTCTATCAACTAAACTACATCTTACGCTAATAACCATCTACCACCACCACTACCAATTACTACTGCTGCTGCTGCTGCTACTACTACCTACCACCACCACCACCACCACCACCAAGCAGCACTCCTATAACGACCTCCCAAGGAGTCATCAAAAAACAAACCAACCTTCACAATGGCCGGATACGCTACCCAGTTTCCTCCATGCCCTGGACCACCACCAACGGGCCCTCT